GGGAGCCAAGGGCGCGAGCCGGCAGAAGCAGGCTCCAGGAGAGTCATGGGCACGAGAGTGCGGGACCGGCTAAGAGAGAGCCACTGGCGCGAGGAGCGCAGACAAAGGCCCCAGTGAGAGGCAGGAGGGGCAAGAGCGTGGGAAGCATGTGGCCTAGGCCCCTGGGGTGGGGGCAGCCGGTAAGAGTGAAGCCCGGGGAGGGCTAGCAGAAGCTGGGAGATGCAAGAACGTCAAGAACAGCTGCGAGGCTTGGGGCATGCTAAAGGGGAGGTAGGAGGCACGCATAGCCCATAAGGCTGGGGGTGCACCAAGTCACCCTAAGATCACAGGAGATCATAGGCAGCCTCCCAGATTACCTTAAATAAGAACAAAGACGTGGTGGGCGAGAATCCAAGGGTGCTAGATCTCCTAATTGCCACGGAAAGGGGGCGCTAGCGGGATCACGGCCGCTCGCAGGCCCCACTCCGTGACAATTACCTTGCAGGAGTTGGCCAAAAGTATGATTTACCTGTTTTCTGCCCTGTACATATGTCATTTTTATATTTGGTTACTCAGGAACCAAACAAGTTTTACTATTTAATATTTTATAATCTTTCATCAAAAGCCAATAATTCCATGAGAAAAAAAAACTTAGACTATCCAAAATAAATTGTTAGCTCTGCATTTAAGTCCAAAATTAAAAGGATTAGGCCAGAAAAGATCATTCCTTTCTTGTACAATCTATTGCTTACAATCAGAGCCTCTTTAAAGGTCAGACTTTAATCGTATTACTACAATAGAACTTAAATTTTTTAAAAATCTTATTTTCTTTGCAGATCACTTTATACTTATTCAGAAGTACCAATTCAGTCTGTACCCTATCTTTCCTGAAGGAGTAGGCAAACCTAAAACAACAGATCAATTCATCAAAGGTGATCTATAGGATATTATCTTTTTTTTAATGAAGCAGCAGTTTGTTACAAGTTCCCTTTAGATCAGAACTTTTCAAATCCTGATTTTTATGAGAAACAGAAAGATAAGTGTTGATATCATCCCAGTTAAAACAATGGTCCAAATCATCAGTTGGTGTCACCTCATCAACCTTGCCAGATTGTCTTCCTGCATTTTATACAGAGCCCTACTCAATTTTAAGATCTGCCAGAATTGATGGGGGGAAGGGACTGAAAAGCATGTCTATAAATGGCCCCAAGCCGACTTTGGGATCCTGTATAGTGTGGCTCCTCAGTCCATAAATGCTTCCATAATTTAGTATGCCCTGGTGAGGTTTCTGAATAAGACTGGAGAATGGATACTTAATTGGGCACATCTACATTAAAGCGTCACAAAACATTAAAGCATCACCAGAAATGTGCTCTTTAGCTAATGGGCATTAAAATAAGCTAATGTGCTTTTTGCTAGTACCTCACAATGAAGGGTGCCTGTAGACGTGCTAGGAGGCTGCACCAATACATTGTAATTACAGTGCCTCGGAGCAGACTCAATTAACTGAGCCTGCTGGAGCGTGCTCCAGCAGACTCCCGCATATTCTGTATCGGTGTCCCTGAGCATCATAATGGCAGTGGGGGGGCACTTGGACTAAAGCTTGTTGAACGAGCTTAAGTTCAAGTGCCCCCACTTAAGTTCAAGTGCCTGGAGGTACTAAATTTAGTGTGCATTACCTAAAGCACATTAATGAACGTCTACATGCACCCACTGAGACACAAAAGTCAGTGGGCTTTTAAAGTAATTTTACTTTGTGTAAATTTGAACATAAGATAAGGGTCCTTGGTGTATAATGCAGCTTACCTACCATATCTACCTAGATCCAAGACAACCCTGAATTTAAGACCCACATAATTAGATTCTATACATGGAAAATGCATACATTTGTTATAATTTTGTAAGTATAGAATCTAATTACTGGAGTCTTATCTTAAATTTGTCCCCCCCATCACTGTAGTGGGGAGAGCAATGGTGGGGCTGGTGATAAGGGGCAGGTGGTGGTGGTCAAGTGATGGAAGGGTTAAGCAGCTTGACCCCTACCACCTGTCCCCCTTACTATTTACCTCTTTTCCCCATCTCCCCTTTCCGCAGCCTCTGTCTCCCTGCCTACCCTCCAGAGGCTGTGGGAGGGGAGGAGATGGGAGCCCAAGGCTGAAGGGTGGAGCAGGCACAGAGAGGGCAGAGACTGCTGGGGGCAAGTGGGGAGTACAGATCAAGGCTGGAGCTTGAGCCACATAGCTGCCTGCCCCCTCTTGTATTTGAAACCAAGACGAGGGGCTTTTTTCCCCTAGTTAAATTGGGGGAGGGGAAAACTTTATCCTGGATTAGAGTAAATACAGTAACTGTGTTACCTTCAGCTTAAGTGTATTTAACTTATTAAATCCTTTGTTTCTAGTCTGTACATATACTCATCATTCAGCAAGACATTTTATTTATGACATTTTTAATTGTATGGAAGTTGGAGCTAATGGCTAGAGAAATACTTCAAAATGTTTGAGACTAATACTATCTATTTTCAGATGAGGGTGAAAAACAGAACAATGTGGGGCTCTATATGATTCTACCAATAGTTATTTTATCCTCGGTTTTATTGCTTGGCATGCTGCTGATTTCGCACCAAAGGTATACAATTTATTTTCATAAAAAAAATTCTGAATGTCCTTATCACATGATACTACACCTACAGAATTCTTTCTGTCTAGTTAAGGACTTGTGTTTGATTGTCTCTCCCAACCCCCAAAATAGCTATATGGATGTGCTTTCTGTGAGAGATGAAATACTGTATTGCTTGAACATGGCACTAGAAAATGAAAATTCCTGAGCATGTACATTTGCTACTTTTGAGTTAAGCCGTTACTCTCTCCATTTGAATCTATGCAATGGGGATGCTTTCCTAAAGTGATTTGGGGTTAGTAAAGTGCTCATTGTCAAATTTTGTTACAATATCCTATAATTGTCTTTATTAAGAGTCTGCAATAACACCTATAGAAATATTTATAGTATAAATAAATACATAGTATAAATGCTGTATAATAGTTTCATAGTTTCTAGGGTCGGAAGGGACC